ATGCAAGAGGACAAGTGAATCAAATAGAAAATGGTCAATGCAGTAACTGAAAGAAACATTCAGTATCAAAGTAGATTTAAGGGGTCAGAGAAGACTTACTGAGAAGAAGTAATATTAAAATTTAGACCAGAAGGAAACTAGGAATTATTAGCTGGATGAGTTAGTGTGTGGAAAGCAAGACTGGGTTCCTTGCCTGAGGACAGTAGAGTCATTTAAGCTGATTTAATTAATTAATTAAAACACTTCAGGCGAACCACATCAAAAAATGTATTGGAGAGGAGAGGCTGGTGGATCAGTAGAAGGCTTTTACAAGGTTCAAATAACAGTAGATGGTGTCGTAAACCAGGACCTAGAGCAGTGGCAGTAGGGGAGTTAGTTGAGGTTGGAAGAGATCTAGAAGACAAAATCAACAGTCCTGAGTGAGATGTGATTCAAGGAGGGCACCCAGGTTTCTATTTTGAATAATTAATTAGGAGTACAGAAGGAAGAGCAGGTCTGCAGGAAAAGATTAACTTCTATACTCCTTGAGTTTCAACTGCCACAAGTGAACAGTGAGATGAATGAAACTAGAGCTCAAAGGAGAGATCTGGCTTGAGTCACCAGTACATTGTATGTCTGTTAAGAGGTGGGAATGAACAGGAGATTTGGGGTGAGGGAGAAGACAGCCAAATACAGAATCCTGAGGAACACCACTACTAAATGTTTTCAGTATAATTTTCTCCTTGTTTTCATAATTTAACAAGAATATATTTGTTAGGTGAATTTTTTAAAAACTGAAAAAAATTCTTCATGTTCAGAAATGAAAATGAAAATAAATTACATTGTTTGCTTAGCCTTTGCTGGGACCACATAGGGCAGTGACATTATTACTTTCCACATGAGTTTGTGCCTTTATTTTGTCCTGACATAATCTGTGCATGCTCTAATGTCTTCTGTTAACCCACTTCTCAGCTCAGCAGCAGATGCAGCCAGCAAGGCGGATCTCCTTCTCCATCAACATTTCTCTGCTCTTCCTTAAGTCTAAAACTCTCTTTTCTCTTGGCTCTTCTTATTCCAGTGATGAGGAGGAGGAGATGCATAGTAAGTAAGCAGCTTTGGTGTCCCCAGGCTGTTCTCCAGGGTCTTACAAGCTGTGAAAATGCTGTAGGCTTGGTACTAAGAAATTGTTGGGACTTTTATTCCCTTGCATGCCATCTTTTATAAATCTTATGTTTTATAAATCATCTTTTATAAATTACATTTGGCTTTGCAAATTAATTTGGATAAAACATTTTTTGTCCTCAGTGCATTACTAACACTGATCTGATGGCCTCCTGATTCCAGGGCACAAGGTGTATCTTTCCAGAACACAGATACCCTCAAAGGCTTAAGAGTTGTGTTCCCATCCCACTTTGTACCCTTTGTAACACTGAGTACTAATTTCCCAAAACTTTCTGTTTGACAGTGTAAATTTTACTTTTCTTGTTTTGTTTTTCTTCTCATGGGACAGATATCTAGATATCCGTCTGTGGTATTTTAAAGATAATGTTAAACTTTTTTTTCTTCTCCTTTTTAGACCATTTCTTTAAAAATACCTTTCCTTTGAGATTGGACCCTATACATTAGGGGGTGGGAGTTACATATTTATTTCTCTCCTACTTTCTCTCCTTTGGAACTTTTATTTTATCTTATTTTTAGGCCTTTCAATAGCTGTAGGTTTCAGATGAATACCTTCTTACTTGATAATACCTAGTTTAAAAATTTTACAAGTTTTCAGTTTGAGTAAACTTAGAAAGGAAATGAATTTCCTCTTCATGAAAATCACTGTCTTCGATTGTGCAAGATTTCTAGAATTTCTAGATTGCTATTTTTAATGGAAAAACCATTTCTAATATGAGGTTAAATAATGAATTCTTTTATGTTGTATAACTAATATCATGAGTCTCAAGCGTTTACAATATCCATCTTGATTGACCACCCTCATTCCTTCCCAGTTGTTGACCCTTAGTTTAAGTCTTGCTCAGGCTGGCATTTTTGCATTGTTTTTAAAGGGAAGTGCCTTAGGCACAGTAACACAGTTTAGTTAATTTGGTTTTAAGGGAATTCCTTATTAGCGTTAGGTTTGACAAATAGATGCACAAGATATTCAGATTATACCAGTTGTAATAGGAGGAAAATTGTGAAAACTCACTTCAACTTTTAGTGTTCAGAAATTCACAAAGCTGTATCATCATAAAGTATTTGTAATATGCTGGGAAATAGCCAAGTCAGCATGGAAAATAAACCAAAGTTTCAGTAGTATTTCTTCTACCCCTAACATAGGATTAATCCCGTAACAACACTGGTCACTCAGTTATTCCAACGTGATGGAATCCTAAAAGTATAGAAGCTTGAAGAAACTTTTGAATCAAATATCCAACATTTCTCAAAATGTATTCCTTAAACTCAAAAATATTAGAAAAAAATTATGTCTGTAGAATGTGTGGGGAAGGGGGCGAGGAGAATGCAGAAGAAAAAGAAGGGATTGGTTTATGGTCAAATAAATTTAGGAAACTCTGGCTTAAGCAGGGTTAGAATGCTAATGTGTGTACATTGTGAATTTCCAAGGCAGTGTTCAGTATACTATGTTTGCCAAATTTTAACTAGGAGACCACAATATGTGCAGGACTATATGTAACATTTTATGAGACTAGTGTTCAATGGAGCACACTTTGAAATATCCACCATGTTCATTCGGTAGTTCCAACCTGAAGTCTCTAGATGCAGTATAATAGGTCTGGAGGTTATTTCATGCCTTAAAAAAAAAAAAAAGCTACTTGAAATATGTTATTTACCTGTAATAATACTTTATAGGTTAACTTTAATGGCAAGTTTTTTTTTCTTTTTTCTATAATTCTGTCATGGATGCACATTAGTTGTTTCATATTCTTAAATGCTCTGAGAACTTGATGGCACTTTAAGACTTTCAGAGGCATTGGTGGATTAGTCACTGTTTTCAGAACCACATCTAAGAGGTTGTAGTAATTGAACTAAAATTTTTCAGTAGTGAGAAAGTTGGAAGTCCTTATAGAAGCCATAGATTCTTCCAGTACTCATCACGTGCTTGTTCAGTTTTAATTTATTCCACAGAAATCTACTGGGAGCTTTTTCCTGGCCAGGCTTTGTGTTGGTTGCTGTTTTTCTGCATTATGAATTTTATTTTTATTTTGTTTATATTGCTAGCGTGTTAACTTGCTAGGTAATTGGTTAAGTGTATAACAGAATCCTGGTGGCCTGAAAGAATTTAATGCTGCCTATATCATTGAAGCCTTCTTGATGGAAAAAAATTTAAAGCCATTGATTTAAACCACCGTCTTGATTTTTTTTTTTTTTTTTTAAAGTAAACTAGGAGATCATGAAGTTAAAATGCTGATAGTTTCACATCTAGGTCATGCAGAAGTGAGGGATAGATCCCAGGTATCCTTATTCTTCCTCTGCTGATCTTTCCCTCTCACCTGGCTCTTATTACCACGCGTCATAAGTGAGAAAGAAGAACCCCGAATAGGGGAAAGGAAAAGGTATAGAAGACAATCTTCTGAAGACTTAGAATTTGTTTTAAAGTTTCTTATGCATTATTCCTACCTGTTGGCTATTAAAATTATTTAGTATTAAGTATAATTTTGCATTTCTATTCAGAATCCAGCACAGTTTGGGAATTTAAGAGTTTCAAATGCTGGTAATCTTGTTGTGGAACATCTTTATGTCTCCATCAGATCAAAGTTTTATTCACAGTAATGTCATAGATCCTTGAAAGCAACCTCAAGGAGAAAGGGTGTGTTTTATACACATTATAACAATAGTTTTTTTTTTTTTTCCTTTTTTGTCTTTTTTACTGACCGGTAACGGGATCGCAACCCTCAGTGTCGCGCCCGTACCGGGGACCGGCAACGGGATCGCAACCCTCAGTGTTGCGTCCGCACCACGCTCAGCCAGTGAGCGGGAACCGGTCTCCACATGGGATTCGAACCCTCGGCGGGAGCGCCGCCGCACTCCCAAGCAGCGTACTCTCCAGTGCGCCACCGGGCCGGCCCTATAACAATAGTTACACTGAGCAACCTTTTGTCTACCTGGAATATAGATGGAAAGCATTTCTATACCTCATCTCCTAAAAATCAAAAACCATTTATCATTGTGTAATTGAGGCCTTGCTTTCATTTAAGTCCTCAGGAGCTCCAACTTTATTAACATGTGGTAGATCAACATAATGATAGTGTTCTTTCTATTTTTTCCTACTTATTGCCATGCTGTCTACTTAGTCTTAGACTTGTAATGACCTGCTTCAGTTTATGATCCAATAGTTAAGGAACGAGGAAGAATGCACCTGCCCCATATATTTATCACTATCACTGTGGTTAAGGGACCTTACCATCTGTTTTATCTCCCTGATTTCACAGATGAGGAAGTGAAATCCAGAGGTCTTATTCCAGATTAGTAACAGGGCCATGACTTTATAAGCCAACTCTGATGCTCTTTCCTATTCACTAATCTATTTCCAGGAATTCTCAGGAAAATATCAGAGATACGTTAGATAATTTTTTTAGTATAGAAATATGTGAAAGCAGGATTAATAGTGACAGAATATCACATTTAATTTTCTATTTTATATTCTTTCTATGACATCATCCCAGAAAGATGGCTTGCGGAAGCTGAACATTGATAAGAACAGTATTTAAACATGCTTCACGTGTGTTTAAGCATTTTAAAAAATGTTAATTTGGGGCTTTTTCAGTTACTTGAATCCTGGATTAAACTTATGTTCTCCATGGGAAATTCACTCCATATCACTATCTATTTCTAATTCTAATTTGAGGGTTTCAACTTTAATTTTTCCTTCTTCCAAACCTTTAGAAGGGAAAGGCACCATGTACTGTCAAATGCTCTTCCTGCTTTAGCTGTGTCATTGTACAATTTTTAATAATTTACCTGTCATGAGGATTAAATTCTTTTGTTCTAACTTTTCCTCTGCCTTTTTTGTTTTCTAGGTTCTCGGCCTTTCCATAGCACCAGTGCTAATCTGACTGAAAGGTACTATATACATTTGTTTTGTTCCTCCTTTTCCCAAAATGAAATGAAGGTAGTCCAAAATATCTTATGACATTTAATTAAGTAAACCATGTGAATTGATCTCATTGGGTTTTTACTTCCTTGAGTGATAAATTTGGAGTGATTAGAAGTGGTTTTCGGGCCGGCCCGGTGGCGCACTGCTACAGTGCGCCGCTTGGGAGCGCGGCGGCGCTCCCGCCG